TCGCTGACTGTGAACCAATATAAATACCTTAAAATTTAAGTGGAAAAATTTATTCAAAAGACAACCAACTTACACGATAATATTCCTTACTATAAAAAGACCAAAAATTGGTATGGTAATAGAGTAATTTATAAAATTACATTTATACCATATGCTGTGTCTTATCATGTAGAAATAGTACGAGTTCCAGTGATAACAATCATCCGCTATGATATCGTAAGTTGTAATAAAAGCGATTAGGATAATTAGCCAAAATAAGGCGAAAACAATTAAAATATGAAATTCAGAGTAGTCATCGCCATAACAAACTGGAAGTTTAAAGAACTAAATAAAATGAGTCACTCCATTTTAAAACTTACATCTAATTGTCTGATAGTTAAAAAAACGTATTTGAACAAAATAATTCGCCATAAACTAGTTTTTTGGACTCATAAATCAATGGACAAAAAGTCATTCATTTACAGAACTTACAGAAAAAACTAGTTTATATTTTCTGTATAATAATTTCAGTTTTTAAAATTTAAAATTTTTGGTGTTCATTTATCATGAACATATTTTTGGCCAAATGGTAAGTTATTTAGATTTCCAAAAAGCAATGGGATGAGATTTTCTAAATTAAAGGTTCAAACAAATGCGATAGTTATCCAAAATACCGCAATATCCTGAGCCACGAATATATTCCAGAAATAATACAACAATGATGGTTTCCGTGAGCGCTAGTAGAATGGATCTATATAAAATTCAAGGAGTGCTCAGAACTAAATTACTTAAACAACAGCCCGGTATTTAAGCTGTTATAAAAACAAAAGTGCCACAAAAATGGATAATGAAATACGACTGATTGCATATGCTGAATGATAAAGTTGTACAAATTATATGATTAAGAGTATATTTTCCATAAATTAAATAATCGACATTTAATCATTAACTCTACAATCTTATCGACGGAATACATTTCCAATTTTGCAGGTGGATAATAAAGATTATTCTTAAACCAACATGTAGACCATTACTTAGTTGGATGTTTTGAATTCGCTTTCATGTTTTTTATGCAGAGCCATAACTATGAGTTCAAGCTTTTCATCACATGAAAGGAATAACAAACTTTCATAATAAAAATATCAATGACTATTGAAAATTCATTCACTCATATTCTCACCCTCAATATTCATTCTATTTTAGAGATCGGAAAATTAAGTGTAGCAGGTTGAAAGGTTATCAACAAATCAATTGTTTTTTCATACTTTACAGTAACTGCAAAACAAAATCTTCCCTAGCTTTGTTCATATGATGAAATTTTAGAGATTTCTCGTTGTTGGATAATTCCCCTTTTCGACAAAATACCATTTCCCTTAGTATGGCAAATTCCTCGGTGTTTACAGTTGCGATGAAATCTATAAGTAAATAGTCAGTAGTTTTGACTTGTTTTTTGTCAACTGATTTCTCCATTAACATAAAGCGAAAAACACACTAGTAACACTAATGGGTACAGTGATGATGATTGGAACAGAAATTTAACTTTAGCGAGACAAAGTGATCTTGCTTAATATTTTTACATCCCTTACAGAAAAAACAGTAAACTTAAAACAAACAAAAAAATTTCATCCGAAATTTTAAACAATCAAACTACTACTACTACCACTACTACTGAATGCTTGCTTATAAGCTGTCCCGTGATCAAATATGTGGGATTATCTATATTAGTAATGCTGTTCTATCTTAGTGCTTTGATCATAAGGAGAAGATGCTGGTGAGAACTCATTAGATTTACCGTTGTATGATGACCTGAAAAGATTGCTTTAGTCAGTGAGAAATGTCGAAGTCGAACGCAGGTTGTTAAGTAGGAATCGGAACTCGGTATAAGATGTAATAGTTTCTTTTTCACTGTAGAAGTTAAGTTTATGCAAATTAAAACATTGTCTACCTAGTTGTGGAGTGTTTTTAACGAGTAAAGTAAACTGAGTACTGCTAACGATTGATGGAGAATTCCCTAATCAATAATCTAAGTATGTTACAGATGCATTTCCTCCCTCCCCTTTCCTCCTTTGAATATATGGCGTTCCTCAGTTCATGTTAATGCCTGAACGAAAAACAAGGAGTTAAGTAGTTAAGCACGTCGGTCAGTCAGTAGCATTTGTTCAAGTTGTCATAAACCATTATCATAGAAGAATGAAATTGTCACAGCAAATACCAGAATAGTTGAGGTGGTAACCGTATCAGAGAACAAATTGAAAATATGATTTAAGAGAATTTGAATCAGTGGAATAAAAATAATTTTAGAAAGTTACGAGGAATTCAGCTCAGACTCTAGGGGAACACAAAGGATCGATGCACCTACGCCATAGTAAACAATGTTAAGCAATCTCATTCAAAGTCTCTAACCACTCGTCACGATTGGTAGGTGGACTGCAAATAGGTAGTCAACTCCTACTAACATGAATCAGTTCAATTGTCGATGGCTTCACGGACTAGTGCCATGTCTCGTTCTGACCGCTCCAATTTTCTCGTTCAGCCACCTCCTACACCACATAACACTAGTCGAGGTAGGCTGTGGTCCCAACTACTGTAGTTGAAGACTCAAAACTTCATAAATCGATTTCCCATCCTTACCTAGTACCCTATTCTTATCCGCTCATTGCCTACTAGGTGGTTCCAGAATATACAGGTAATGCTTCGGGGACAACTTTGATCGAATACTAGTAGCTTGTGAAAATCCTCTCTTCTTAATAGTTATGTTCCACATACGTAAAGTAAAACAGAAAGTAATGATGCGTAGTAGATCGACATCAGTACGCTACAAGTTGGCAAGACAGTCAAATCTCCTGTATTCGTCCCAAAATTTTGTGAGACACCAGACCATTAGGACTAATGAGACTTCCAAGAATAGTCGATACGCTTAGCAACTTTACTCCCTATCACTGATTCAGGTCACATCTTCACACTACGACAGGTCCTGGAACACAGACACACATTTAGGAGTCCTACAATAGTTGTCTTAAGGCGGTATTTGACTCAGTGGATCGTGAGGTTCTGTGACAGTGCCTGTCATTGAAAGGTGTACCAAAGAAGTACATTAACCTTATACAAGCTCTCTACTCTAAAACTACTGGTCAGGTGAGAGCTTATGGCGAACTGTCATCGGAATTCTCTACTTTAAGTGGTGTCCGTCAGGGATGTTCACTCTCTCCATTCTTGTTTTACTTTGTCGTAGATATGCTTTTGAATTAACATTTTCATCGTCTGACTTTACAGGAGTGGACCGTTAAATAGGAGACACGGTTGCCGACTTAGAAAATGCTGATGATATAGTATTATTCGGTGAAGACGCTGACAAAATACAGAGTCTTCTGACTACCCTAGGCAACAATGTTCGGGATGCGGTACCCCCCCCCCCCGAAATGCAAAATGTTGCTTCAAGACTGGGTTGCATCGTCACCTGAACTAGTGATAGGGAGTGAAGCAGTTGAGCGTGTAGACCGCTTCACGTATCTGGGTAGTCTCATCAGTGCTGATGGCCTGGTGACTGACGAAATCTCAGCACGGATACAGAAGGCTCGACTGGTTTTTGCTAACCTGCGCCCCCTATGGTGCAGGCGAGATATACGCCAAAGGACGAGTGTACTGCGCAGTAGTTCGCTCCGTCCTACTATACGGATGCGAAACATGGCCGTTAAGACTGTGTTCGTAGGTTACTAGTATTCGATCATAGGTGTCTCCGAAGCATTGCTCGTGTATCCTAGGACAACCGTATAAGCAATGCTGTTATTAGGAAACGAATTCTATCTAGGGATGGCAAAGCAATAGATGAAGTATTTAAACTTTATCAGTTGAGGTGGTTGGGATAGGTGTTACGTATGGCTAACCACCGACTGCCGCGACGAGCTATGTTTTTCAGTGCAGGAGTAGATTGGAAGAAAGCTAGGGGCGGCCAAATCAAAACATGGCAGAAATCCATGACGTCATTGACAAGTGGACTGAGTCATGTTGGTAGATGTACGCTACCTGGTTGGGGTCCGAGAGACAAAAGTCACCGATGGTTAGATACCTTGAACGACATGACTCAAAATCGTTTGCAATGGCACAAGTGCATCCATTCTTTGTGTTCTCTCAAATCCTAATCTTCTGGATTCGTCAACACCTCTACCTTTGTCTTTCTAATCTTATCTCACTGAATTACACTTCTTGAACTGACAGTGGCGTTTTTGTGCTAATGCGGTATGGCAAACTTAACTGACGTATGTACGTACGACGTTCTACGTTGTAGTTGACTGACTGACTGACCATGTCCGATATGTGAGTTCGTTTCATTTCAATAGCTGAATTCTAATTAATTACTGCACTTTCACGTAATAAAAGTTTCACGGTTCTAAATTTGTTTGCCGTTCACATTTTGTTAGGATAATTGCGTGTATGGAATAATATTGGTTCACTTTGGTTCTCATTGGTTCACAAATAAATATGGTTATATAGGCTACATCTGTGGATAGTGGGGGCTTATTCCTTAAAACGTAATCAATGTTTTCCTTTTATGCAATCGAAACCACTCTGTCCCTAGAAACCGTTTTCGGCTTTAGGAGACAGAAAATGATTCACAAAATGAATAGTGAAGGCAGCATATTACAATTCGATTACGTAACTTATGTAGCATTCAAGATATTTAAGAAGGCAACAACGTCTTCGCAGTGAAATTTCATATGAACTTAACTTGTTTATAAATGCTTGGAAGTATGAATTATAAGTTTGAGTGGTCAGTGGATGAAATATTTGCTACGTAAAAATCAGAATTTTACAACTTACAGTGCATATTCAGTGCATGCAATGACATCAAACAATGAAGTATTTTAACTGAAGGCCCAACACAACAAGATATGAGATGAGAAATATTGGTGACAAAACATTCAACATATACCTCTTTTCACTATTTAGGAAATCTACAATTACTGTATGGTATAGTAAAATTGTTAGACATGAAAATAACAGTTATGTAAGTTTAAACTTACAGGCCATCATCGTCAGATTCACCATCTGCATCATCATCTCCACCTTCATCACGCCATTTCCGATAGCGTTCAATTAACTCTTGCAGAAAAGCTGTTTTACGAGCTTTTTTAATAAAACTGTGACGCAATAATTCATGTGCAGTTGGCCTCTGGAATAAAATGGATTTAACTAATATAAAAGCAACAAATGTACAGAGAATAAAAAGAGATTAAGCTATTTGTAATAACTCATGAATAAGTGGTTGAAGTGACCTTAGATGGACAAATATAAAAAATATCTGAAAAGGGATTCATACAAATAAATATGTGGAAAAACGTGTACGACATGCGTGTTTCTGTAGCTAGTATCCAGAATGAAGAAACGTTAGCCACAATACTACCAATGAATTGAAATACTCATAGTAAGACAAATTGGGAAATGGAGAACAGTACGAAGACAAGTGACTTAACAAGATTTACATGAACTTGACCATTCAGTGTAATACGTCTTCTAACTAGCATCATTTCAATATTTTTAATGACTGGGAATGTTATTTTCATTTACATAGCGGGTCGCTTGTGTCGCTGAAATTGTTACTCTAATATACATACATAGCTTCTCATTGACAGATCATGATTCGAAAATGTGAATAAAATTTGGACAATTATTTAACATTCTAAGCACTCATAAGTCAGATGTGTATATATATCCGGCTGAGGAGTTGCAAAATTCTACATAAGCCAGTGAACCTTAACATTGTAAAGATAAACAGATTACCTGACTTTGTATAGTTAAAAACAAGTGAACAGTTAGTGTTAAATTAGCAGATGTTTTTTTACAAAAAAACTGTATTTTCAGAACAATTAATAAACAGAAAATTAACAGATAATCAAAATCACAATACAATTTAACTATCTACATAGAAATAGCAACTATCATAGGAGATATGGATTGATATATAAGTAAAAAATTGAAAATTTTAACTGTTTATTCACCTATATAGAAGCATGTATATTTTGGAAAAACTGAACAGACCACTAACATGGAGTTGTGATTAGACAACCTAAGCAGTGAAATATTAATACAGTAACAGTAACAAAATAAATCTTTGAACATAATATACGCCTGAGTGTTTCCTTTCACGTGTTCATTGATTCATACTGAGTACATATAAAACGATAAGTAACTAAACACACAATAACTATGAGAAAATGAATACCACCAGATAAAAAATGTTTCGCTATTCCTTGTACAGTGATGATAGATAATGATTCCAACATTTTCTGATGAGCTAACAAAGTACCATTGTATTGATAAATAATCAATATGACTATGGGGATTAATTCAACATGGAAAACGAAATTGCAAATAAGTCATTAACGGCACAAGGTGAACTGGTCACTATGTCCACCTGATGTAAATGAACTTTAAATTAATTTGAATATTTAGCAATTTATCAATCAAAAAGTTTATCTATGTACCGTTCACGTCAGTTACATAGATATGACCAGAGGCTGAATTGTAAAGCCAAAATGCAATCAAAATATGTAAAAATATAGACCCTAAACGTTTAGAAATTACGATTATTCCTACTCAATAGTACAGAACTGTTTAGAATTGGAGATAAGTAGTATTAATAATGAACAGACAAAGAGATATTCTGTACGGTTTCATGGATTAGATTGCTATAGCACTTTATGTTCAATCAAGAAGTAGTCGACCAATGGTTTTAAATTAGCATCTATCCATAAGTAGTGATTCCGTCTGTCACATTTAACACCATTGGACAGGAATTAAATAAGACTAACATAACAACGTAACTAAATAGACATGTATAAAGTGCATGCATCAGGTTTCTAAACAAACAAAAATTAATGAACACAAAAAATATCCACTAAATAACGCAACCGAATGAGTAGAATAAACCGTAATGAACATTAAGAAATGGAATTCTAATCCAAGCAGATAGTGATGACAATGGTTACGAGAAAGGTATACAAGAACTCACAACACTCATTTACCAATACTGCAGGGGTTGTTGAGCTTTCTACTCAGGTAGACAGCCACTGAAAACATGTGGAATTTATACAACAGACCGTTGGTCGTTGCTAGGATAATGATAAAAATTAATCAAAAGATGCAAAACTCCACTAATCTACTCAGTTGCAGTTCGTTAAAGATGAAAATCTAGTCCATACACTGGGAATAAAATTGAAAACCGATATGGTCTACTTGTAGTGCAGATAATCACTGATAAACAAGACTATAAGAATTACAAGCATCTCAACAAAATGAGATCAATTTCAAAGTGGTTTGATCATGTTACAACACGAAAACCAAGGCAATGAAAGAATGAGTAATTCATTTAATAACATGACCAAACGAACAACTGAAGACTTACATTTTCGGGAACTTTAGTCAAGCAGCAATCTACAAAATCTTTGAATACCTTACTAAAGTCACCAGTCAACTGAGGAGAAGGGTTCTTTGGAATAAGCATGAGAACACGTATTGGATGTAAGTCAGCGTTAGGTGGTTCACCTTTAGCTAATTCAATGGCTGTAATTCCCGTAGACCATATATCCACCTAGAAAATCGGATGGAAAATTTAAACAGTTGGTTACTTGGTAAAACATCAAGAAGAATAGTCGACAAATAGAAATAGAAATAGTAATAGAAATTGTATGATGTTAACTAATTTTTTCTGCGGATAATTTTTCGGTTGTCCGACTATTTATTTCGGCTACTTGATTAGATCGAACAACTGTTGAGTAGTATCTGTCGTAGCTGTCTTTCCAATCCGTACTTGTCACTTTACCCAACACCACTAACAACCATTGTGTAGAAATTTATTTATAGTTATGTTGTTTATGATTTTTATGGAGCTCAGATCTTGTTTGCAAGGGACTTTCAGCATCTATTAATTCAGTGAATGCTGAAATCCACCTGATTTTATAAAAGAGTATAGATCACATAAGGCTACCTCAAGATAAGCGTTTTTCGATAAACAACTTACATGTAGGAAAGCTTCACATTTAGGTTACTATAATTTTAAAAGACCAACGATAACATTACATGAAAGCTAACCGTTAGTACTAATTACGCATGCAGAAAAGATGAGGCAAGGTAAGAAGGGACAAAAAGAAGACAACAAATTGATGACACAATAAGAGGACTTGATATAAACCGAGATGAAACCGAGTTCTGCTAGGAATAAGCATGTCTGCTAGTCCAAAGTTCTAAATTCCTATGTATGCAGAATATGAAATAAAACTGACGAGTTCCTCTATTTGGAAGCATGTTTAAGGACAAAAGGAGAGGCGCTTGAGGCCAGTCAGTTACAAAAGAAAGACAGATACAACACTGAACATCGTACGTATGTACATCAGTTCAGGTTGCCATACCACATCAGCACAGAGACGCAACTGTCAGTTCAAATCCAGTGGAAGCGATAGTAGAAGTATTAACAGAAGATTAGGGGACGATTCAGTGATATAAAGTTCGTAAGAGAAAGACAGAGATGATGAGGAATTCAGAAGGTTAGAATTAAAAAGCACACAAAGAGTGGATGCACCTGCGCCACTGTAAACGATTCTGAGCCATGTCGTTCAAGGTATCTAACCATCGGTGACTTTTGTCTCTCGGACCCCAACCAGGTACCCTACATCTACCAACATGACTCAGTCCACTTGTCAGTGACGTCATGGATTTCTGCCATGTTTTGATTTGGCCGCCCCTAGCTTTCTTCCAATCTACTCCTGCACTGAAAAACATAGCTCGTCGCGGCAGTCGGTGGTTAGCCATACGTAACACCTATCCCAACCACCTCAACTGATAAAGTTTAAATACTTCATCTATTGCTTTGCCATCCCTAGATAGAATTCGTTTCCTAATAACAGCATTGCTTATACGGTTGTCCTAGGATACACGAGCAATGCTTCGGAGACACCTATGATCGAATACTAGTAACCTACGAACACCTAGTCTTAACGGCCATGTTTCGCATCCGTATAGTAGGATGGAGCGAACTACTGCGCAGTACACTCATCCTTTCGTTAGCGATTGACGTAAATTGGCAAAAGCCAGTCGAGCCTTCTGTATCCGTGCTGAGATTTCGTCAGTCACCAGGGGCTGGGGGTGGTGGCGTGCGCCTGTAATCTAGCTACGTCCAAGCCAGGATGTGTGATTTCGTGGGACAGCTTAACTTCGGCGGTGCACATACTAAAATTGGAACGATACAGAGAAGATTAGCATGGCCCTTTCGCACGGATGACACGCAAAATCGTGAAGCGTTCCATGCTTTTTCCCGACCGAAGCTGCTACCTTGACGTGGTGATCAGGCTTGCCTATCGTATTGACCCAACAGAGCTATATTGGCTGGAACTTATGGTCCTGAAGGTTCTACCATGCCAGGCCCCGACCGAAGCTGCTACCTTGACGTGGTGGTCGGGCTTGCCTATCGTGATGACCCAACCGAGCTATACTGGCTGGAACACATGTTCCTGCAGGTCCTACCATGCCAGACAGGTCGATTGGAGGACGATGAGACTAAAAGCAGCTACCCAAGGTCTGAGGGCGAAGTCGTACTGCTGACTGCAGAGGGGTGTGACAGCAGTAAGGTGTTTCCCTCGGACAACCAGCATCTGCAGCGATGCTGCCTTCTCACAAGGAAGGAAGGGTTAGAAAAGGTCGGCCCTAAAAATGTCACACCTCCCCTACCTCACGGATTTCCGTCTCCTTGGGTAAGGGTGCCCACAAAGGGCCTTTAACAACGGAGCTAATCCTCTAAATACCTCTCATAAAAAGGCCGTGCGTGACCGGCCTGAAGCAGTTGTCCCTTGGACTCTGCGGTCACGCACCAACAACCTTCCACGGTGTGGGCAGCCGGGAAGTGATAACCGCCCTCATACCCGCAAAAGCACACGAGACAAAATTGTTCAAAATCAAATCCTTCCTACACCACCTAATACCTCTCTTATCTCCACAACTAACTCTTCTCACATTCATTTATTACAGTGCACAGCTAATGCAAACGATGCGAGTTTGCGAAACGTCGTTCCCGGTCTCCTTAAACCCCGTTCCAAACTACATGTTGGAGCATTCAATGTACGGACATTGTGTCAAATAGGGCAACAGGCGTCATTAGCTAGGACTTTAGAATCTCGTGCCATCGATGTGTGCTGCGTCTCGGAAACGCGCATACAGGATCCGAGTAGCATCACTCATTTGACCTCACCATGTCAAGATAAAGAAGCAGCTCGATTTACCCTTCGTGTATCCGGTAGCCCTGATGCTGCTTCTAGGGGCCTCGCCGGTGTAGGTATAGCATTGAGTCGTAGGGCAGAACAATCTCTCCTTGACTGGATCCCTGTAGATAGTCGCTTGTGCGCTGTCCGACTCAACGGGGCAGTAAGGACTCGGAAAGATAGGGACACTCGCCGTTGCCTCTTCGTCATATCAGCCTACGCCCCCACTGACTGCAGCCCAGATGATGTAAAAGATGAGTTTTACAGAAAGCTTTCGGACCTCCTCCAAAAAGTTAAGCGCTCTGATATAGTTATAATGGCTGGTGACTTCAATGCACAAGTAGGTAGACTAAGTGAAAATGAAAGACACCTAGGTGGATGTTACGGTCTCGCGGCTCAAAGAACAGACAATGGCGACCGTCTGTTGCAACTGTGCTCAGATAACCAACTATTTCTAGCAAACACTAATTTTAAGCATAAGGAAAAACACCTTTTGACCTGGCGACCCCCGAAGTCGTCTCAACGTTGGACACAACTAGATCATATCGCCATCAGCCACCGATGGAGGGGTTCGATAGAGGACTGTCGCTCGTTCTGGGGCACATGTTTAGATTCAGATCATGCCCTAGTGCGAGCACGTATTTGTTTGAGGCTTGCTGGACGTAGGAAAGACACTGTAAGGAAGCCTCTTAGGGCTTTACTTGATGATAATCAAGCTAAGAAAATATTTCAGGAGGAACTAGAAAAACAGTTGGGCGATCATGCAAGTGATTCCCATCCGGAGTCAGGTTGGAATGATATAAAGAAGGCTGTGGAAACAGCAGTGATATCTGCTAGCAAGGTAAACCATAAGGCTAGGATGAAGCCGTGGATTTCAGTCGCATCCACCGAACTGATGGATGCACGAAAACGCATCCCACCTGACTCTGAACATGATGAAGAGCGTACTCAACTTAGGCGCAGACTTATAAAAAGCCTACGTAACGACCGTGAACAGTGGTGGGTGGCGAAAGCAAAAGCGATGGAAAAGGCAGCGGCGATAGGCAACACTAGACAACTTTTCCGCCTTATCAAAGAAACCGGTATTAGGAACCCGAATGTAAGTGAGACTATCTCGGAAAAGGATGGTCTTATTATCCATTCTCAATCTAGGAGGCTGGACCGATGGGCAGAACACTTTAGGGATCAGTTCAATTGGCCTTCAGCCACTCTTCGGTTGCCCACGATCCCCAGTCATCCTGAATGGCAAATCGATTTAAGTCCTCCCAGTTTACATGAAGTTGAGAAAGCTATAGGAAATCTAAGGAATGGTCGAGCGGCAGGTCCCGATAGGCTTACCCCTGAGATGTTTAAGGATGGTGGTCCGTTAAGGTTAGACTGACCGAGATCCTAGGTAAAATCTGGGAAATAGACGTAATCCCATCTGACTGGTCTCAGTCGCTAATTGTCCCAATCTACAAGAAAGGACAGAAGTCCTCTTGTGACAATCACAGGGGAATAAGTTTAACTAATATAGTTTCTAAATTGTTAGCCTCGATTATACTTAGACGTCTAACTAGAGCTCGCGAAGAGCAGACTAGAGAAAACCAGGCTGGTTTTCGACCTGGACGTGGTTGTATAGACCACATCTTCACACTACGACAGGTCCTGGAACACAGACACACATTTAGACGTCCGACAATAGTCGTGTTCCTGGACCTTAAGGCGGCATTCGACTCAGTGGATCGTGAGGTTCTGTGGCAGTGTCTGTCATTGAAAGGTGTACCAAAGAAGTACATTAACCTTATACAAGCACTCTACTCGAACACCACTGGTCGGGTGAGAGCATATGGCGAACTGTCATCTGAATTCTCTACATCAAGTGGTGTCCGTCAGGGCTGCCCACTCTCTCCATTCTTGTTCAACTTTGTCGTAGACATCCTCTTAGAGTTAACATTAAGCTCGTCAGATTTTTCAGGGGTTGACCTTCTACCAGGAAAGTCGCTTACTGACCTAGAATATGCCGATGACATAGTTCTATTCGGTGAAGACGCTGACAAAATGCAGAGTCTTCTGACTACCATAAGCAACAATGCGAGCATGTTCGGGATGCGGTTTTCCCCCTCGAAATGCAAAATGTTGCTTCAAGACTGGGTTGCTTCGGCACCTGATCTAGTGATAGGGAGTGAAGTAGTCGAGCGTGTAGATCACTTCACTTATCTGGGGATTCTCATCAGTGCTGACGGTCTGGTGACTGATGAAATCTCAGCTCGGATACAGAAAGCTCGATTGGCTTTTGCCAACCTGCGTCACTTATGGCGTAGGCGTGATATTCGTTCGCTAACCAAAGGGCGGGTGTACT